AGCACGGCACAGCACAGCACAGCTCACCGCACAGCAGCACAGCACAGCACAGCACAGCATAGCACACAGGCCATTCCTTCGACGCCACAGGGGGTGCGCTTGGGGTGGGGGCCCTATGCGTTGCAGGCCCCCAGGGCGTGGCAGGCGTGGCATTTCCTGGGCGCCGCAGGGGGTGCGCTGGAGGTGGGGGCCCTATGCGTTGCAGGCTCCCAGGGCGTGGCAGGCGTGGATTTCCTCGACGCCACAGGGGGTGCGCTGGGGGTGGGGGCCCTATGCGTTGCAGGCTCCCAGGGCGTGGCAGGCGTGGATTTCCTCGACGCCGCAGGGGGATGCGCTGGGGGTGGGGGCCCTATGCGTTGCAGGCTCCCAGGGGCCACAGGGGGATCGCTGGGGGTGGGGGGGGCCCTATGCGTTGCAGGCTCCCAGGGGTGGCAGGCGTGGCATTTCTCGACGCCACCGGGGGTGCGCTGGGGTGGGGGCCCTCCTTATGCGTTGCAGGCTCGAATGGCCGTGGCAGGCGTGGCATGTTCCTCGACAACATAGGGGGTGCGCTTGGGCGGTGGGGGCCCTATGCGTTGCAGGCTCCCAGGGCGTGGAGGCGGGCCATTTCCTCGAAGCCACACGGGGTGCGATGGGGGTGGGGGGCCCTATGCCTTGCAGGCTCCCAGGGCGTGGCAGGCGTGGCATTCCTCGGCGCCACAGGGGGTGCGCTGGGGGTGGGGGCCCTATGCGTTGCAGGCTCCCAGGGCGCGGCAGGCGTGGCATTTCCTCGACGCCACAGTGGGTGCGCTGGGAGTAGAGGAGGAGGTAGAGGAGGAGGAGGAGGAGGAGGTGACGGAGGGAGTGAGGAGGAGGATGGGAGGAGGAGAGGGAGGAGGAGGAGGAGGAGGAGGAGGAGAGGTGGAGGAGGAGGGGAGGAGGAGGAGGAGGGGAGGAGGTGGAGGAGGAGGGGAGGGAGGGGAGGAGGGGAGGAGGTAGGTGGAGGAGGTGGAGGGAGGAGGAGGAGGAGGAGGAGGGAGGTGGGGCAGCAGCAGCGGCAGCAGCAGCAGCAGCTGCAGCAGCAGACGCAGCAGCAGCAGCAGAAGCAGCAGCAGCAGAAGCAGCAGCAGGAGGAGGACACCTAAGAGGAGAGGGAGGAGCAACAGCAGAAGCACCGACAGTACACATGGGACATACAATAGGTATGTGGGGTTCCTCGTTAGCGTAATTTCCGTTGTTGTTGTTGTTGTTGTTGTTGTTGTTGTTGTTGTTGTTGTTGTTGTTGTTGTTGTTGTTGTTGTTGTTGTTGTTGTTGTTGTTGTAGTTTGTTGTTGTTTGGGGGTTGTGGTGTTGTTTAGTTGTTGTTGTTGTTGTTGTTGTTGTTGTTGTTGTTGTAGTTGGTTGTTGTTGTTGTTGTTGTTGTTGTTGTTGTTGTTGTTGTTGTTGTTGTTGTTGTTGTTGTTGTTGTTGTTGTTGTTGTTGTTGTTGTTGTTGTTGTTGTTGTTGTTGTTGTTGTTGTTGTTGTTGTTGTTGTTGTTGTTGTTGTTTCACTTCTGAAGAACAATTATTGTTGATCCCCCCACCGGTGCATACTGTTTTTTCTCAATCAAAGTGTGCTCCTCGACGCTCGCACCCTGTTTTTTGACAGGGACAGTTTTCCTGCTCAAACTGGGCCCCTGGCCCCCGGGTTACAACAACAACGGCTCCCGCCTGAGACTTCCTTACAATTTAGGCAGGACCCCCGCTCCCGCCCGAGACTTCCTCGCATTTTATTCAGGAATCGCGCTCTCGCTTGGGACTCCCTTACAATTTATTCAGGAATCGCTCTCCTGGAGCTCTGGAGTCGCGCTCTCGCTGGAGACTTGCTTGCAACTTACTGAAGAATAGCCTTGCGTCGGAATTTCTTCCAATTTGCCCCAGCGCCGCGCTTCCGACACCCAGGCACCCAGGAGTCGCGCCCGTTGTGGCCCCATGTGCATGGCCTTCGTGGCCCCGCTGTCGCCATTTGTGTCCCCCTCATTGTCCTACGTGGCCCAGTTGCTACCCTCAGTGGCCCCATAGTTGCCTTCTGTGGCCCCGCATTATCTGCACTTCGTGGCCCCCGCTCGTTCGCACTCTTCGTGGCCCCATACGCATTCCCTTCGTGTCCCCGCTGTCGCCCTTAGTGGCCTACTTCGTGCCCTTCGTGGCCCTGCCGTCGTTCTCTCTCGCTCTCGCTTTCGCTCGTCGTCGCCGTCGTTGCCGTCGTCTTCGACGTCGTCGTCGTCGTCGTCGTCGTCGTCGTCGTCGTCGTGGTCGGTCCCCTGTCTGTCCCTCTTGGGGTCGGGTCGACGGTCCGCGGCCGCCCCGCCGATCAGCGCTGCCGCTGGCCAGGCCGACGGTCCGCGGCCGCCCCGCCGCTTGCCGGGGCCCGGCCTGCAGGGAAGAAAGGTATACCCCCCAGAAGGGGTTCGATCGAAGACGAAGAGGGCGGGTATCGAGGGTTTGGGAAATACGCGTTATTGGACACTCGAGCATATAAGGGCGAACAGTCTTAAAATGATTGTTGTTGTTGTTGTTGTTGTTGTTGTTGTTGTTGTTGTTGTTGTTGTTGTTGTTGTTGTTGTTGTTGTTGTTGTTGGGGGGGGGGGCGTTGGGGACCCCGGGACCCGGGGACGATTCCTGCCCCCCCTGGAGGAGAGCGCTGGAGGAGCCCGAGCGCCGGGGCCCAGGGAAGGTCCCTGTCCTTGTTGATGTTGATGCTGTTGTCGCTGTCGTCGTTGTTGGTGTTGTTGTTGCGGTTGTTGTTGGTCTTGTGCTTGCTTGCTTGCTTGCTTGCTTTCTTGCCTGCTTAGTTACTGCTGCTGCTGCTGTTGTTGGTGTGGTCGTTTTTGGTTGTGGTTGCTGTCGGTGTATTCGTAAATGTGTTTGCTGTTGTTGCTGCTGCTGAGGTTGTCGCTGATGCTGTTGTTGTAGTTATTCGTATAGTTGTTGTCGTTGATGTTGAGTTTGATGTTGCTGATGCTGATTACGATGGTGATTCTGATGATTCGACTGTTGAGTCTGAGGATGAGAATGATGACTGTGATGGTGATTCTGATGGTGGTGGTAATGGCGATGATGATCGTGATGACGTTGATGTTGTTTTTGTTTTCGAGGATGGTCATGACATAACGGTGGTGATGCTGCTGATGATGATGATGATGATGATGCTGTCGTTTTTGTTTTGAATGATGGTCATGCCATAATGGTGTCGATGGGGTGGCGATGATACCGATGATGATGAGGATGACGATGATGCCGATGCTGTTGATGATACTGGTGCTGCTGATGATGATAATGATGAGGATGCTGAGAGTGATCATTATCATGATGATGCTGATCTTGGTGATGATGAGGTGGTGGTTGTGGTTGTGGTGGTGATGCTGATGATGAGAATGAGGATGAGGTGGAGGTGGAGGGGAGGTGGAGTGAGCATGAGGGGGAGGAGTAGGAGGAGGAGGAGGAGGAGGAGGAGGAGGAAGAGTGTAGGTGTAGAAGGAGGGAGGGTTGGTGACAACCTTGGCCTGATAGGAGACCAGACGAGAGGGAGGATGGGGAGGCGGAGTAGGAGGAGGCGGAGGCGTAGGCGGAGGTAGAGGAGGGAGGAGGAGGAGGAGGAGGAGGAAGAAGAGGAAGAGGAGAAGAAGGAGAAGGATGATGACTGTGACGAGGACGACCGGTGGCGATGACTATGACTATGACTATGACGATGGCGATGACGATGACGGTGACGATGACGACGACGGTGACGACGACGGCGGCGAAGACGAAGACGACGACGGCGACGGCGGCCGCGGCGACGGCGACGGTGATGGCGACGATGCTGATGATGCTGATGATGCTGATGATGCTGCTGCTGCTACTGACGATGATGATGCTGCTGCTGATGATGAGGATACCGACGACATGATGATTTTGCATTGCAGATAGTAACGACGATGATAACGATGTTGACGATTAAGATGGCGATGGCGATGGCGATGATGACGACGACGATGATGACGACGATGATGATGATGATGATGATGATGATGATGATGATGATGATGATGATGATAGTGATGATGATGATGACGATGATGAGGAGTCTGATGATGATGATGACGATGATGATGATGTTGATGCTGCTGATGCTGCTGTTGATGATTATGATGATGCTGATGATGATGCTGATGATGATGCTGATGATGATAATGATGCTGCTGATGATGATGCTTGTGCTGATGCTGATCATGATGATGATACTGATGCTAATGATGATGATGACTGCGATGATGATGATGATGATGGTGGTGGTGGTGGTGGAGGTGGTTGTGGTGATGATGATGAAGATGAAGCTGAAGCTGATGATGATGATGACGATGATGATGATGATGATGATGATGATGATGATGATGATGATGATGATGATGATGAGGAAGTGGAAGTGGGGTAGGAGGAGGGATGATAATGATGATAATGATCATGATAATGATAATGATAATGATAATGATAATAATGATGATGATGATGCTGATGATGATGATGATGATGATGATGATGATGATGATGTTAATGATAATGTTGTTGATTATGATGATGATGCTGATGCTGATGCTGATGATGATGATGATGATGATGATGATGATGACGATGCTGATGCTGATGCTGATAATGAAGATGATGATAATGATGATGATGCTGCTGCTGATGATGATGATGATGCTGCTGCTGCTGATGGTGGTGTGATGATGATGATGATGATGATGATGATGATGATGTGATGATGATGTGATGATGATGATGATGATGATGATGATGATGATGATGATGATGATGATGATGATGATGATGAGGATGAGGAGGAGGAGGAGGAGGAGGAGGAGGAGGAGGAGGAGGAGGAGGAGAAGGAGGAGGAGGAGCAGGAGCAGGAGGAGCAGGAGGAGCAGGAGGAGGAGGAGGAGGAGGAGGAAGCGGAGGGGGAGGATGAAAGGGTGGTGGAGGTGGGGTGTGCTCCTTCCAGGTACCGGAGATCACGCGCGAGGAGGCTGTCAAGCTGATCCCGTCGGCCCTCGGAAACCTCGTCCTGCACGTCGGCGCCTGCCGGCCGGGCTTCTCTCTCGGAGACTCCCGCAGGTTCGGGGCTCAACGAGACGAGGAGATGCACTCGCACTCAAGAGCGGCGAAACGTCCTGGCGTGCCTGTAGGCCTACCAAACAATGTTCTGAGAACCTTTTGTGGTTTCCACGACATGTTCTTAGGACATTTCTGGCTGGGACTGTTTTGTTTTAGCACATCGGGAATCTGTTGTAACATTTCTGGGTTCTAAGAAAATATCGTGGTAGGCCTATAGATATTCTGGGACGGTCGGTCCCTGCTCAATCGCACGCGGGCGAGATAGATGTAAGGTCGGGAATTTCGGCTTAGCGTATCGCGCCACAAGCGGTGCCTGAGGCCGTCTGCGGGCGGAGGCGGAGGCGGAGGCGGAGGCAGAGGCGGAGGCGGAGGAGGAGGAGCAGGAGCAGGAGGAGGAGGAGGAGGAGGAGGAGGAACAGGGGGAGATGGAGTAGGAGGTGGAGGGGGAACGAGGATGAGTGGAGCGGAGGGAGGAGGGGGTGGAGGGAGGAAGGGCAAGAGGGAGAAAGGAAAGAGGATATCGAGGAGCCAGGAGGGACGAGGAACTGTAAGCGCAGGCGCCATCATCGCTTTCTTCGGCGGTGCGGTATCCTTCGTGCACGTGGTGAAGGCCTCGGAGCCAGTGATCTCCGCGCTGCTGAACTACCTCTGCATAGGCCCGTCCTCCTCCGCCCTGCGTCTTGCGACGGCGGGCCAGGGGAGGGTGTTGTGATAGAGGTCGCCCGGGCTCCCGGTGGCCCCAGCTTTTCCGGGGAGGTCCAGCTGGCCTCCCGAGCCGCGCCGTCTTGGGGCGATCTTGGGGGCCTCTTGGGCCGTCTTGGAGCGTCGGGAACCCTAAGAGGCAGGAGCGCCCAACTCCTTGAAAAGCCTCTGGGGGCCGTCATGGGAGTGCTCCTGGAGGCCTCTTGGGCCGTCCTGACATCTCACGATGCCAGGGGGGCTCGGCCCTGGAGCCGCTCCGTCAGCCTCTTTTGAGGGAGAAGGGGGGGCGGTCAAGAGAGAGACAGAGAGAGGGGCAGGGGGATTTCGATTCAGAAGCATGCTGATCGCAGTCTTTCGCCCCTGAGGTTGGGGGCAGGTGCATGGGGGGGGCTGCTGGTGGAGGGAAGGGAAATAATGATCAGGACGAGGAGGAGGCGGAGGAGGAGGCGGAGGAGGATTAGGAGGAGGAGGAGGAGGAGGAGGAGGAGGAGGGAGGAGGAGGAGGGAGGGGGAGGAGGAGGAGGAGGAGGAGGAGGAGGAGGAGGAGGAGCAGGGAGGTGGAGATTCAGGGTCTCTCATGTGTTCTGAGGGGGCTCCTGGGACACCCGCGGCGCTCTCCGTGCAGGCGAGGTGCTGCCGTGGCCGGTCTACGCGTCCCTGGCCCCCATCATCGGCGGCGTTGCCCTCGCCAGCGCCAAGGAGCCCCGCTCTGTCGGAGCTCGGGCAAGGGGTCAGCCCTGGAGGCGGTCAACCAGTTCCCTCCGATCCCCTCTGTCTGACCCAGGCTTGGGAGCCACGTAGAGCTGGCCACCTTTCCCCCTCCCTCCGCCGTCGCGGGCTTCGAGAGCGGCTTCGTGGCCGGCCTGGGACTGCGACGGGGCCCTCGCTGGCCTGGGTTTGGCGCTGGCCCAGGGCAGCCCGTGCCCGAGCTTCTGCGATCAGGACTCCGCTGGGGAGTCCTGCGCTTGATGAGTGGAGAAAGCAGCAGTTGGAAGCCCAATCTCCAATCTCCAGTGCAGTCACGGGGGTGTGCTTGTGGATTTTTCCTCCAAGCTCCAGCAGTATCACGGATGGAGGTCGGTCTTCGCTTTGGTGCCGCTCGCATTTGTAGTACAAGTCTCTGGCAGTCACAAGGAAGGAGGCTGGTACGTTTTCAAAACAGCGACTCCTCGCTTCAGCGCCGCGCATATTCGTTTTACATTTTTCCGAATGCACTGCGTGCGTTGTTTTATAGATGGGCTCGCATTGACTTTCATTTGTTCTCCAACTCGTCGGCGGCGGGGGCGCGCGCGAGCAGACGAACTGTCGCCCTTCTCTCAGCGCAGAGCGAAGTGCTGTTGACGCCCCAGCGGCGAGCTGATTCCTGGAGGTTGTGCCCTCGCTTGGCCGCGGCGCACACCTCTCGCCTCCCCGCTCATCGGTAGCGGGGCCGCGCTCGAACGAGCGACGTACCGCTGCGCTGTGATCACATCCGCGCCGCGCAGGATCCTCCTGAGATCAGTATCGTTTAACCGACCCCCATCCCCATCCCCACTCCCTTCGAGACCCCCACCAAATTACCACCCCAGCTGGGGACGCCCCCCGAAACCCGAAGGGGACGGCCTATACCCCTATCTAGGAGCGTAAATCGGCCAGTGGGTACAGACCACGCCGGTGGGGATGGGGATCGGTCAAACGATGCTCTTGAGAGCTGCGTTCCCGCTTGGGCGAGGCGCACCCGTTTGCCCCGCCGCGCGCTGCCGGAGACAGGGCCGCTCCCCGCTCCCTCCGCTCCCCGCCCCCGCTCCCCCCGCCGCGCCCCTAGCTCCGCGGCACGCGCCGGGCGGTGACGCGGGGCAAGGCGGCGGGGTGGTGGGCGGGTTGGCGTGTTGGGCGGGTTGGGCTGGTATGGGCTGCTTGGCGCATTTTCGAGGCGGGAATTTCTACATGACCACCGCCTGGAGGATCAATTTTCGGGGACCTCGGCAGGCGGTGGACATGGACATATTCGGGCCCCTGGAAAATATATGCATATCCACCGCCCGCTGAGGCACCAGGACGTCGGTTCCCAGGCGGTGGATATGGATAAATCCCCGCCTCGCAGGATTTGCGTGCGGGCTGGTTGGGCTGGTTAGGCTGGCTGGTGTGCTGGCCAGGGGAATTGGTTTCGACGGCGGCATGGGGGCCCTGTGGGCGTCCCCTGCGTGGACATTATGGGGGCCTGAAACATGATGGCAGCTTCGAGGGGTGGAGTTCTTTCGTCGCGAGAGTGGATGTTGGGAAGTGGTGAGCAAAGTGAAGTGACGAGAGTATCGCATTCGGGGCCTCCGACTGCTCGGGGCGCCCGCCCATGAGGCCCGTCCCCAACGGTACGGTGGGATTTGGCCCCCCCCCCCTCGGCTGCCAGCCTGGTCCCTGGAAGGCGGTTCACAGCAGCTTTCGCTGGGTAAGAAATGCTTCCTCCCCATTGTTGGTGACGGGAGGCAGATGGCGGGGGTATGCGGGTTGGTGTGGTGGCGGGTTGGGCTGGTTGGGCTGCTTGGCGGGTTTGTGGGTTGGCTGGTTGGCCTGGTTGGGCTGGCTGGTGTGCTGGCCAGGGACCAGGACACCAGGTTCCGACGTTTTTTTGCTTGCAACATGGACACCACATCGCCCATGTTGCAAAATCCGTGGCGGGAGTGGGACGGAGCGCACATCCTGCGCGAAGGGCCGCAGTGTTGCTCTCGCCTCGGCGCCGCGGTCATTTTTCTAGAGAGCTGGGCTCCCGCTCGGGCGCGGCCGTCGTTTTCCGCGCGCGACTTCGTCGACGCGCGGGCAGAGACGCCGTCCTCGCCTCGGGGCTGCGCCGTTTTCGCCCGAAGCCGGGGCCCCCGCGTCGGCGCGGCGCACACTTTGCCGCTCGCCGATCCCTTGGGGCCCCTTCGCGAGCGGGCGACGCGTGGCCCTCGCCCGGTCTCCGTGTGCACCTCGCCGGGAGGTGGCGCTCCCGCACGGGCGCGGCGCTCGGCTCGTTCGCCGAGCTTCAGAGGCGACGATCAGGTGCGAACAGCCCAGGGGAGAGCAGTACACGTATTCAGGTGCGCCGGTGCTCTACGTCTTCGAAGAGGCCGCCGGGCGAATACGTGTAATGCCCGCCCCTGGGCGATTCGCCCCTATCGTCGCCCCCGAGAGCTGTTGGCAAGCGACGGCGGCAGCGGAGCCGCGCGGGAGCGGGCGAAATTCCGACCTTGCCCAAGCGCCAGTCCGTGAAGCTGGCAGTGCTGTGTCATCGCGGCGCGGGCTTCGTCTTCGAAGAACGCCCATCGGAGGTTTTGCCGCCCCGCCCCTGCGCGCGTCCCGCGTAGTTTGTTCCCTTCGCCAAGTCGTCGGAAGCGGGGCCGCGCGCGAACGCCTTCCGTTTGCGAGGTGGGAGAGCGTTCCAATCCCAATGTCAAGTTGTGCCACGCATGGTTTTGATGTTGTTGTGGGAGGGAGGGAGGTGGAAATAGGCAGGGCCCTCTGACTCGCTCGACCTGGGTAACCCGATCCTTGTTCCTGCTGCTGCTTCCTCTTTCCTTCCCCCTCTCACCCTCTTCTTGCCTTCTGTTGCATCTCTTTTCCGCGCCCCCTGGCAGGAGCTCTCGTTCACGTGGCTCGGCTTCGGCGCCGCGATGGCGTCCAACGTCGGGCTGTTTTTTTGTTGCTTTGCTAGTTGTTGTGTCCGTCCTTCCGTCCTTCTCCCTCCTCCCTTGTCGCCCTTCCCCCCTCGATCCTCCACTCTCGGATCCTCCCCCCCCCGCTCGTCCCGCGCTCCTCGTTCTTCGTCGCTCCTCGCCCTTCGCCCTTCGCCTCTTGCGCCTCCGCCCTCCCTTCATCCCTCCTCGGTGAGCCGCTCGCCCCTCCTCGCTTCTCCCCTCCCCGCTTCTCCCCTCCCCGCCAATTGTGTCAGTACAGTGGTTGGTGGGCACAGTGGTGTCGGAGTGGTCGGTCGTTCCGTGCCTCGTCTGCCCCTCCCCTCCAGGGGATTGCCCCTCCGAGGATTTCCTGCGTACGTCAGCGTGCCCGTCGAGAATTCCCCTTGGCGCGAGATTGGGAGAGAGAAGCTGCCCGACGCGAGGATCTCGAGCTTCCCGGGGCCACCTGGCTGCGCATCCTTCCGTGCTCACCATCGCGTGATGTGCTGTCCTAGTTCTTCGGCCAACCATTTCCGAGCTGAGGCGTGCCCATCGTGAGGGAGAGGCCGACAGGAGCTCTTCCCTGCCCTCAGGCGGAGGCCTAGCAAGGAGGCCCCTCCTTGCCCTGATCGCCATCTGCCAAAGCACACCTCGCGCGAAAGCAGCTGTCCTGGTCAACATCCGAGTGTCTTGGCTTCTGCATGTGCTGATATCGGTCAGAGAAGTCCGAGTCCCTGGTTTGTCCTTCCCACCGCACGATCAAGCTCGGTGAGCCACCTGGGGTGCAGGCCTTAAGAACGAAGGGTCTCACGAAGTTCCTCCCCTCATGGTGGCATGGCCGTGAGGCAAATACAGTCAACGCATAGTAAGGATGAGCAGTTTTCCAAGGTTACCCTTGCATTCTTCCTCTTCGGCCCATCCTTGCACGGTCTCGCTGGCCGCACCCCGCTCGCAAAGCATCGGCATGGCCTTCCAAGACCCTTGCATCCTTATGGTGCGTCCTTACTATACGGGTTGACTGTACTTTGGCTCATCGCAGCTCACCGTTCGTCCTCATGCTCCCACGTACTCTGCTCCCCTCGCCTCCACCGCCTAACTGTTGCGGTGACCTCCGTGGCAGCTTGCCCAATTCTTTCCAGCGGGATCGCTTGAAGTTCCTCCGCGGGCGCCGCGACTCGAGGCAAGTCCAGGCTCGGGCGGGTGATCGAGTGCCAAGAGGGTGCCTCAAGGTGCCAGTGGGAGATCTCAGAGGCGCGAAGCGATTCCTTGTCTCTGAGAGCGATTCGGGCCGCCTGCCCAACCACGTCCCCGCGCCCGTTGACGGGGAGAGTGCAGACCCATGATCTGGCAATGCTCCGCGGCCGATAAGGGTGTGGTACATCCATCTGATTGACCCAGTCTTCTCGCCCTGGCTCGAAGATCCGCCGACATAGCCGAGCAACGTCCATGTGCTCCACAGATCCGAACAGGTGATGTGGACGTGCCGCCGTATCTGATGAGTGCCGTAGAACTCCTAGAAGGATCTCCTTCTGTCGATGTTGGAGTCCTGCCGCCGCGTTCCTTCCTGCAACGCATCCCAGTATGTGCAAAGCTCATCTAAAAGGGCGATACTGCCTTGCGCGCCTGTCCAGGCCACCCGTATCGCAACGCGATACTCAACCAGCGCGGTGAGCCACGGAAGTGCGGCGAGGAGTTCAAGGAGAGCGGGCGTGCTATCCAGTTCCCATCCGTGATCAGCTGCATGGGTTCGGGCGTGGTCGAGCGTAGCCAGCGCGATGAAACATGCCCGCGCTGCAGCGATCGGGGATGGCTCGTCCTGTGCCTGCCTGCCCAGGGTGCCTGTGGACTGTGCAGTCGCATGGTGTGCAGAGCGGTCTTCGACCGAGAAGACACCGGGAGCGATGTCTCGTCAGTGCTCCTTCCTCTCTTGTGCGTCTACACGTGCGTGGCCCACTCTGGGATTATCCTGCCCTCCTTCGTGGATGAAGTATGGGTTTGCGTAGTGGCTTTCTGATCATAACACCGGGTCGTGGTTCCTCTGGAAGAGGCGATGCTGTGCATGCAGGCGTCGTCCCCCAGCTCGTCCAGAGACACGTCGGTGCCAAGCGGTATGCCCTTTGCGACTGTAGCTTCTTGTCTTAGTCCACAAGACTGTGTTGAGTTGCTCGTGGTGTCGCCACACCGTGGCCATGACCTCGATGGGACTGGGACCTGGTTCCGCTAGAAAGCGGACGAGGAGACTTGTTGCTCGTCTGATTGTGAGCGTGACCCACGGACGTCCATCCGCATGTACTCGGAACTCAACGGTAGAGAGGAGGTCCTCGTTGTGATATCCCCATCGGTTCGTGCTGACTGCCTGCATCTCGTGGGAAGCTGCGCCTCTCGTCCGCCAGGTCCTGCCGTTGCCCGCGCAGCTAGAGCCTGTAACGTGTGGAAGTAGTGGGTGGAGACCTGGAGGGCGTCCTGGATGGCACGAGAGAGAAGTGCATCGTCAGTGTATACCGTCCCAGCGTCCTCTGTCGTGGACGTGTCGGGGCTGGTGGGCAGTGAAGGAGATGCGGCGGGCGACGATTCGCTGATGTCTTCGTCTTCCTCGCAGTGGTCCTAATCTGCCCGAGATGGGTCTCCTTTCCATCCGGAGTCTGCAGCGTCCGCAGCGTCTTTACTCAGGCTGAGACCAAACATTTGTGGGAGTGCTATTTGTGCGGAGGGTTATGCGTATCTGCCGATGGGCAGGAACGATGTTTCAAGCTGGCGTGCTTGAATGATTACTTCAATCGCGTTCCGCCTCCCGCTGCCCGTTCGCCGTGGGTTTTCGGATGCAGTGAACCCACTGATGTACAACAGGGCGCCAAACTCTTCATTGACCCGAGCGAGCTGCTCCGTTGTAGGGCTGCGTCCGACAGCTTATGTTTCTAGGAACAAAAGTCACTGGTAGCCGCTTCGTCAAGTAGGTCCTCAACCTGTTGTCGTAGGAAACACACAAGTTTGTCTGGTGCATTGCTGCCAACAGCTCCCCTGTCGTACAGGGGCCTTGTGCTGGCCGCATCTTGATTGGGCAGTTCAGGCAGCCGCTGCCGTCCTGGCCGCTCCTGGTTCGCGAGTCCCATGTGTCTCTCATCCCATGCGTCAAAAAATTCAGCTGGCCAGAGCGTCGCGGAGGGCCAGCTGATCTCGCGGGTACTTTGGTGCTTCCCAGTGAGGCGCGCGCAAAAAGTAGCAAAGCTTTTCGCGAGGCGCTGGACTCGGTATGCAAATAGTCATGTAGCCAACAACCGCAGCTGGCGCAGTTGCCAGGGTTGACGATGCCCTGTAATGGCGTGATCTCCTGTGTCTCATTTGTGGGGCAGAACCCTCTGGCAAGGCGCAGTGTCGTCGCTGGTATGTTTGCCCTGTGCGTATCCAATTATGCTGCGCCCGTCCTTGATTCTCCCCCGTTGACTCAAGCAACTGCCGGTCCAGTCCGATCCCAAGGACCTCTGGGAGCGGCATGAAGAGATGAGGCCCACGCGATGCGGGCGCAACTTGATAGTGCGTCTATCTTGGGGGGACATCTGGATGTGAGGCTGCGCCCGATAGTTTCTGCTGTTCAGGAAGATCCTTTCAATTTCTTCGTGCGCGTGTTGTTAGACTTCCGTAGGGTGCTCTTCGCAAAACGCCTGCAGCATTCGGGGGCGCATGCGTATCACCCTCATTTCAGGGACTCCGAGTGTAGTTGCATCTACGTGCTACTGCAGCGCCCGTTGAATGTGTGTATGCTCTTCAATGAATACCCAGATGCTTGAAAGACCCGTGCCATCTGGTATGGGTGGTGTGCCGCCTTTTGTCTGCGGGGGCATCGTTGCGTTCCTGCCTCGAGGACAGGAGCCATTGGAGGCAGAGACCGTTGGTTCTGCCGTCGTAGTAAGGGTGCCGACTGGCGCCGCAAAGCCGTCCCTGCCACTGCTCCTGGCGCTGAGCCTGTTCGCGAGCGTTAAGGCTGTGACAGACCCCGCGCTCCCGCGCAATAATAATTTCGCCCTCCTCCGCCGCGTCCACGCAAGCCCATTCTTCATAATTGGTGGGGAACGCTTGGCGGCAGCGTGGGTGACAGTGTCGGCGCGCGTTCTCACTGAGCGTGGAAGTCCTGATGCGAGCAGGCGCAGTGTATTGCATTCCGCAAAGGCCGCATTCAAAGACATGTTGTCGGTCTCGGCAAGTCAGATCGGATAAGGATTGGTCCCCCGACAGGGGGTCCGCCATCGCATCAGCTTCGCTGTTGGGTCGTTCCTCCGACAGGAGGGGGGTGGCATCAGAGCGAGGCGCATGTCGGTCGTCTCGAAGACAATCTTCAGCCTGGGAGAGCGAGCTGTCTCGGCCTCTGTCGCCTGCACTTCCGGCGCCTTCCTCGTCGTCCTTCATGCCGCCCTAATTTTTTTGGTGGGTGACAAAAGCTAGCTCCTCGCTGGACTGCCCCCTACGGGGGCTAGCGTGTGCGCGGAAGCGCCAGCCCTGCCCTCAGGTGGATGGGGCACCCCCCAGGAGAGCCTTGAGCCAGAGGACTTGCGCCAAAAGCTACGGGCGCGCACGCGCGCGCGCGCACGCGCACCCGCAGAAAAAAACATGCGCGCACGCACGCGCGCGCCACGCGCGCACCCATCCCCACGCCCACGCACGCGCGCGCACACACGCACGCACCCACGCGCGCACGCACACGCGCACACACGCACACACGCAGACGCACGCACAGACACACGCAGACACACGCAGACACACAGAGACACACAGACACACGCACAGACACACACAGACACACACAGAAGCACGCAGACACACAGACACGCAGACACGCACACGCGCGCGCGCCCGCGCACTTCTTGAGTCGGCGCTGCGCAGGAACCCCAGGCGCGGTCGGCAGGAGGAAGTGCGAACGAACTTAGTCGAGCGCGCCATGAGGGCACAGCCCAGCCCTGGCCATGCAGAAGGTGGTGTATTTGAAGGGCGCGCGCAGTAAATTCCAGAGAAAAGCGTGCAG